AATTTCTATGTCACTTGAACACCTGCTTAGAATGTTGGGATGGGCCTCAGGAACAAAGTGAAGGCTCTGAAAAGACGTGCTCTAGAAATGTTGAGTCACTAGGACAAAATTCCCAGGGGGGGGGGGAACCTGGGAAGTTTGAGAAGTGGGAAAATATTCAAATTTCATTTTTATTGCACAGATGCTATGATACTAGTTGTGGAGAAGGGAGACACATAAGGCATGAAAGGTTGTGTCACCTGAAGCAATCCACGAGTCTTTTAGTGAGCTGGTGAACTTAGTAGTTACTTCAGTAATGATTTATGGCAACTCCCCTTTAGAGCAATCAGAAACTGTTTGATGCTTTCAAGTAATGCCACTCAATCCTCTCCAAAAAAGTCTAGTGCAGTGCTTCTCAACCTTGGCAACTTTACAATGTGTGGACTACAACTCCCAAAATTTCCCAGCCAGCATGCTGGCTGGGGAATTCTGAGTTGAAGCACATACATTGTAAAGTTGCCACGGTTGAGAAACATTGGTCTATTGGTTATATATGAGGTCTGATACTGCAAATTTTCTGATGCTACTAACTCACAATTCCTGTCTGTGTTTACAGACATTATCTAACCCCCGTTCAGCATGACTTACCTTTACAGCAATTTTCAAAATCTTGGGTAATGTCTATCCAGCTTGTGTTACTCTTTTCCATCTTCTCAGCTATATTCATCTCCCATCCTGAATCATCATCTTCTACTGAAGCCTTCATAACCATGACCTTAAACCTGCACAGAAGTTGGGACATTAAAAACTTAGCATCTAAACGTTAGCAGTACTAGCCAAATGATTGATACGATTAACACAATTTTCTGGGTTTATACAACAGACTGACCCCCACCAGCTGGGTCAACACAACCTGTTTGACTCGTTTGCGATTCAGTGTATCCAGAGAGCAGCGCCTGGGAGTTTGAATATACGGTGTAGTTCCTCCGATCTAGTAATGAGACTGAATCAAGTTCTAAAGCCTGTCGCCATGCTAGGAGTGGGCGAGGCTAGTTGGGACAAGCCTCTTTGTCTATGCGCCACTAAACCCCAACCAGCCAGGTCACTGGCATAGTATCCCTAGATCCCAGAGACAGCAAGGAAGGATTCCTCAGCAAACTCAGTCTAGGGAGATCTATCCGGGCCTCTCACCTGCCGCCCGCGGGCGGTAGTGGCGGCACTGGAATGCTGCTTCTCAGCCCCGCAACTGCTATCTCCGCAGCTGGCAGCGCGTGACGCGGGCGGGGGGGGGAGAAGAGAGGGGGACGTGTCTTACCCGGTCCTCGGAGCCCCTGCCCAGGCGGCTGAGATAATTTACTTC